CCCGCCCGGCCCCTGCCTCTGTGCCAGCTCCACAGCCAGGGCCCCAGAGCCAGCTCGCTAACACGAGGTGGCCAGAGATGTGCACCTGGACCCACCGGCGGTTTGTTTTACTTCATTTCTGAACAGCTACAGCTCACGCGAACCGGCATCCTGCACATCTCATTCTGGAAAACATCTGCACCTTTCCCATCGAGGCCTTGTTCTAGTTCTGCTCTGCTGTTCTCAGTGCAACTGAGGTGATCTTCAAACAAGGGCTAGGCAGTTTAGCAATCAGCTCCTTGAGCAACCCCTCTCACACGTTACATCCAAGTTTGAAAGCAGTATGTCATTTTGGTTAAAGCGTACCAAAGCTGGTAATTTATTCAGGTCACAGATTTTTATAAAGTTTGCTCCTCTCTTCCTCAATCTTCCAAGCGTGCTAGAACAGCATCAGCAACATTCAAGTCATCCAAAGATACATTTCAGTATTTAAATCTGACATTAGATATTAAGTTAGTAATTAAACAGAACACAGTATGATAGCATTGGTCATGTCACTCCATCCAAAGAGACAAGTCAGAGCACCTTCCTGGTGTTTCAGGCTGTAGTCACCGATTTCGCTAAAGCTACAGTTCTGAAAGCAACATGAGCCACTCTGGTCTTCTTCCTTTATCCACTTGAAAACCTGCTGTTAGAATTTACAGAGGGCTTCCAAACTGGGTCCCTCTTCACTCTATTTCAACTTCCACCACACAACAAACCAGCTGTATGGGGGCTCTTACTCTGTTTGTTCTGCCTTTAAAGTTCTGTTTGCAGTCCACTGTAGCATCTGCAGATTCGTCAGTTCCTGAGTGATTGCACAGTGCTGGCTGTCAAAGAACGGCCACCTTACTGATGTACCTCTGCTGACATGACCAAAGGACAGCACATGTGAGAAGTGAAATGGGCACTTGGAAGACTAGCAGACTGCGCAGAAAGGAAAACACCCTTGGGTAATACGATCTTTGAACATGAAGGATGAACTGAGACCACTATTGCCTGTGAGGAATTTTACTTTGCACAACCCTTAAAGCTATGAAATTCCTCTCAAAGTAAGAAGTGGAAAAAACCCACCAGAGAACAGACTGCTCCTTTATGAACCAGCCTGGGTCATCTAGAATTTCTGCTAAGATTAAATTACACCCCTGCATGAATCACATTACTTTTCATCATAAAAGCTTTCCATTCTAACACCTTATTTACACAGATTACTAAACAAGTCACTACCACTTCAATCTGTAAATTAGTTTTAAATTGAAATATTTCCTAGTCCTCATTTTTGTACCAGAGACAATACATACATACACATAAGGAGTAATACAGGGTATCTAACTAATCACTGCAGTACCTTTTGATGATTATTTTCCTATCAGTTTAAAATAGTGACCTCTACACTGAGGTGCTAATATGTATATAAAAGCCTACACAAACAATATTGCACAAAGTAAGATTTATAACAGAGTAACATACTTTAGAGACCCTTATAAAGAGAAGAGTAATAATTGATATTAAAAAGATGCATCCAGAACTAACACAGCATCTTTGCTTTTGTCTAGTCTAACAGTGTTTCAACTCTTTCCTACCCCAGTGACAACTCGAACAAATGAAGTTATCTGGAGACAGCTTAAGTTGCACCAAACCCAACTTGTACTCTAAAGGTGGGGAGGGGGAAGGCAGAGGGAGAACGGGTCAGGACTTTTTCCTTTTGATGACTCGAAAGAGCAGTAATAAATGGGGTGAGTGAAAGTCAAATACAGATTACACATCAACATCCAGATATATTGAAAGATTGTTTAAAAACTGTTGATAGCTGACACTACCTATTTAGCATGTGCCACGGATTTTTCCACAATACCTGGGCACCCAGAAGCTACACATGGAAACAGCAGTCCAATGCCTTAATACCTTTATTGTGAAATAGTAATACAGAACTTCCTAGAATAAGGACAGCCTTACTGTGTAAGTCAGTTATCAACTCAATGCTAATATATTAAGTGCATCAGTACAAGGGAAGTGTGGTTCCATTGGACACATTACGACCTGATCAAAACAAGCTGCCAAGTTGGTTAGTATTTTAAAGCCTTAAAGTGCTCAAAGGTAGCAGTTTCCTCCACAAGACTACCAATAGGTTCTCTAATTTTGACACTAGTATTACTCATGTTCAGGGAAGATGTATTCTGGAAGCAAAACCCTCACACCAAACATAAGCAGTGCTATGGGAAGTGTTAGGTCCGTAAGTCATTGCATTTCAACAGGATCAGACACTTTCTTCAGCTAATTTTACAGGTCACCTTTGTAGGAACTGTAAGAAATAGAGATCAATTTCTATAGCTTGTATATAAACCCAACTTGAATATAAACCAACATGTCAAGAACAGACATACCAAAAATTTCACAAATCATCAAAAGTGCTGTGCTTTTTTTTTTTTTAAGCAATCACAATGAGATGGGAAAGTTACTTTGCAAGTCTTCTACAAAAGCATCACTTTCTGGTGAAGATTAAAGTAAAAGTAGGGAAATAACACTGACAGATATAGTTCAATCATTTTATGTTCCTGGAGGAATTTCATTCTGACTTTGAGGAGATATTCAGTATCTCTTTAAACAGAAAGAAGTGGTAGACCACTGTTACAGGTTGTACTAAGGGGTTAAAATACAACTTGAATTTTGCATAATCTGTGTAAAAAAGATATGCTTGACATTGTGGAATGTCATCTTTCTTTATAGAATTATAGGCAAGATTTCTCCAATAAAACATAAGCCAGTTATAAAACTATAACTTCACATCAAAATTTTAAAAAGTTGTTAAAAAATGTTTGATTATATACATATCACACAGAAGAGCCTGCATGATCCTGTGGATTGTGTTGCTGATCAGACTCTATTTTAAAACCTGGAAGGGGCTGGGCCACCTGATCTGGTTGCACAAGTCCTGATATTGAAGAAACAGAGGAGAGCATCCCTGTTGTCAGCTGCATTTCTATACCTGGTTCTTCAGACTCTATTTTTACACTCATACACTGGGGTTCACCTTCTGACTCTGTCTTTCCAGGAACACTACTGTTCAAGCTTGAATTGCTTTCTGCATTTTGAGAAGTCTCCCCCACGGGGTGATACTGTTTAAGTCTTATGTGCCAGGCTAAGCTGCAGACTGCTGACACTGTTTTGAACTGATGAATGACATTTCTAGGGATGAAGTAGATGTCATTGTCACACAACTGAATTCTAGCATAGCGAATGCCTTCCCGTCTCATTTGGTTTAGTTTGGCTTCATCCACCCATTGAACACACTGAGAGAAGGAAAGATGGTAAAGTTAGTGGTATACTCCGTTTAAACAATTCAGTATCCACCTATTTTCAACCTACTTCACATCTAAATCAGCATGTTTGTTTAACAGGTAAAACTTCAAATTTAAATGAGAACTGGACTTTTAAAATATATTTTAGCCAATGTGCACATCTTCGGAGAGGACAACGAACAGTTAAGAGCATTCTACAGTTACAGCTGAAAACAGTAGGTTTGACATGAGGCTGCCTTGTTTTGGCTCACAGGGCTGAGTTTAGATGCCTTCACATCCTAAAACAACATTAGTGTATTAGAAAAAGCAGAGAGAGACATACATGACTTCTTAATCAACTTCTCATTGTTTCTATAGCACATATGACTCACAGCATAAATCCCAGCTTGGTAAGAAGGAAAAGCAGTTGGACTAGACAATCACTGTAGGTCCCTTCCAACTAAACTATTCTGTTCTGAAACATGAGCAGGGAAATTGCCCAAGAGAGATCTGAATGGATGGCCACCGAGGATACAGAAGGGCTGGCTACACAGTGAACCTGAAAACTGCCAGAAGCTACTTCCAAAGTGCTAAGAACGAGCTGTCACTAGGGAAGATTCAATACCTGTGACACTGGAGGTTCATGGAGGTCCAACTGAAGTCTCTGCACAACATCAGTGAAATCTTCAGCATGAAAACAAACCACATCTTTGGTTATACGAGGCTGGTCACTCCTAGAAAAAGATGAGAATTCCAGGAATTTTTCAAGATTTTGAGTTAGCGAGATACAGCTCTTTCTGACAGAAAGTTTCACTGAACCAACAACCTATGTCAGTTTTACACTGCACACAAGGTGTCATCACTCCTCCATACGTGTATTATTTTGAAAAGGAAGTATAATTCACAGATTTCTTTTTTCTTTTACTTTTCTTGATGCATGTGCAACAGAAGTGATGTTTTTGTGTACAAGTACTATACTGAAATGTCTGAGAATTAGGTTCAAATTGTCACTAGCAAAGTTCTGTATATTCTAGGAACCACAATTTGCATCAATTCTTCCATTCCATAATTAGACAGAATAATTCTGTATTAAAGGAAAAACGTACAGTAGTAAAGTAACTCTGAAGACAAAGCAACGAAGAGCTGGGTATTATTCAAAGGCTGTGAATTAGAGTAAGGAAGTTCTGACACCTTTTATTCATATAAAATCTCATGATATTGCTAATGGTGTTACCCAATTTCTACTGTAATTGCTAGAAATAACAATGATGCAATTTCTAGTTTCTGTGCAAGGTCAACAGCAATGTCCTGGCTACACGTAATAAGAAAGCACTGTAGCTGTGAAATTACATTGAGTTCTTAGATTACTGTTACAGAAGTTAGCATTAATATACCTACTCAGGACAAGAATAGTCACAGATGATGGTCCAGGCATGGTATCTTAAGGCTTATTTTGTATGTCACTAGAATTCTCTGCAAACTGCTGTTCCAACTTTTCTACTGCCTCAGGAAGAGAGAGAAGTAATAGGTATACACCTTGGGTTCTTCAAGCTCTAGGTAGCATTTATCTCACTACACGGTTTAAACCATTTCTTTGATTAGGCTTGTTTTCCAAGGAATTTTCTTTTTTTAAGAGAGAAAATGTTTAGAATTACCCACTGCTACCAGGATGGTTGCATTTCAGTGGTACTTACCATTCCCCAAACTGTACAGCCTTCAGAACCCCTACAGCAGCTGTACTCTGCCAGTCAAACCCTTGACCCACATGATCAGCGTGAGCTCTTGTTCTGTCTTCAAACAGAACCTCACGGGGCTCACTGGTCCGAGGTAGGTACTGGAGATTCTTTATTTCGTTCATTGACCTACAACATGATAAAAAGACATACTAAAAAAATGTTTCAGACTACTCAAAAATAAATACTTGTATTAAATAATCTTAAAGTGTTGTGTGCTGCAGCCTTCAAAATGAAAGACCAAAGCACTGCCCCCTCTGATTTCTTCTAGGTGTCTATTTGACAATAAAAGACTGAAACAAATATAGCAAAGTACTATTCAGGTCATGAGATCAAACTTCATAAAACAAAATCAATCATAAGAAAAAAAAAAAGTGTTCACTTGTGCTGAAAGAATTCTTCCAGGAATTTAACAGTATGTAAACCAGACCTATTTTAATTGATGCTGAAGTTTAGTTATTTGGGCGTATGTCCAAAAATTCTGCTTGAAATCACAACTAAAGTATGTTTCCAATTCTTTATCTCCTAAAATATCCTAAGATAGAAAGAACATATGCACACCACAATATTTCCCAAGAAGGCAGACAGTACTACAAGTGCTTTACCACTAGCATTAAAATGCAACATGAATGGTGTACGGATCTCTGCTGTTTTAGACCATTTCACCTGCCCTCACCACCAAATTAGTTCTTTCCACAGAAATAAGACAAATACAACAAGTCTGCTGAAGGATAATAAAGAGAGGTTTCAGTCTTAAAGCACTGGACATACTACTATGAGAAGTCGTGAATAAAATAACCATCCCAAACAACATATTTGTCTTATCCACTGAGCCATCTTGAAACAAATGAAAATGAAAAACTTAAATCTGTGAATTAGCCTTCTGAAGAACTAGTTACACATGAAGTCTTTAGGTTTTGTTCTCAAATCTGGCACAGACATAACTGCAATGTTTTACCTTTAATACGTAAAGGAAAACAAAACATTACCGGCGCCGTTTGAATGGCGATTTTGGCATATCAGCTGTTGGGATCATCTGCTCTCCTGGTCTCACCCACATTATGGGACCATCATCACTTTGTGACCTGCACTGAAGTCTGAGACTAGAAAGAGTACCCCAGGGCAAAGTCATCTAAAAGAAAACAAAAACAAAACAACCCACAAAACACACATAACACAAAACACTGGGTGAGATAGAAAAATTAAATGATGCCTTTGGTAAAACTGGTTCAAATCTGCTGTCAAAAGAACTGCACAGAAATTAAAATAAGTTTGAGAAGTAAAATATATTCCAAGTTACCTTTATCAAACTTAGGTTTCAGGGAAGCATATGATTATGTAGTGTGTATATATATATGATAAACCATATTTAATTTTGTTAATTATTTACACAATTATAGCTGCCTAATTCAGTAGCTTTTGTTTGGACACAGGAAAGAATGTACCTGTGTAGCCCAAATGATAAGCACATTAATAGAGAAAATATTTAATTGTTTCTAACTACTTGGAAATATACGAAACTCAGTAATTATCTATAGCACTCTAAACAAAGCACCATAAGTTACTGCTTACTCTGAGAAATGGAGATTCTTCTAACATATCTAGAAATTCTGGGAAGTAGTCCCCAACTTCTTCATCCACTGCTCCAACAAGACTGATCTGCCGCATCGGTCCTGCTCTGTAGGTTCCACAGCAGTACGTTCGATTGACCTGAGTGGCCAGAAAGGAAAGAGCACCACCATCACAGCTTTAGTTCCGTTACAAGAGACTAAAATTCATTAATATAATACACTAGGCCACAGATGAATCCTGGACTCACCTACACCTATTTCATTAGAGGTGCCTTTGGGAATACACAGAGAGACTGTTTAGAACAGATGCCCATAGGGTATCCCACGAGACAAGAACTGTCTGTGTTACTGACAGGAAATACTTACAATGTTTGAATAATAGCAAGTTAGTATTTGACTAATTCAGGAACAATTCAACACTTCCAGGCTGACTTGAGAAATCCACCACGCAAAGTTTCACTGTGACTCAATCTCTCACCAGCAAGCTTAAATACTCTACTCGTTTGTGCAGTTAAGTGCTGCTTCCACATTTCAAACTGCATGCTATTGAAGTATGTGCATTCTTCATTTCAGTCACATCCTATAGGTCTCTCCCCTGTGACTGCAGTGAAAAATCTAGGTGTCCTTCATGCAGTGGTTCTGATAACATTGCTATAGTGTATACACAGAATTGGACAAAATCACCAAGGAAATGAGAGGTCTAGCTAGAAATACAGCAGTGGTCAGGTGCACATTTCAGTGTTCACGTACAGCAGTTTTAGGATTACCATTTGGAATATAACCTGCTGTCACTATTGTGGCCAGAAACACTTTAATCTCACTCACAGCTTTCTGCTGTCCTCTGTAGCACAGACTGTCCCCCTTTCCCCCGTCATCTGCAAACCTTCCTTGCCAATCTCCTGCTTCCAGAGGAGAACCACTGGCAATACTCCACTGGTTCTCCAGTCTCATCCTACGGACTGCAGCAATAACATGCCATATGCCACAGAGCAGGTTGTACATAGATGCAGCAGCTATTCAATCCTGAAACATTAGAAATTCTGCTATGATTAGTCTGGTTTTTATACTCCATTGCATCTGAGCCCCAACCTTCCATCACTCTTCAACAGCCCCTGTACATTCATCAAGTGGTTCTAGTGGTGAAAAGCTACAGCCGATTTCCACAGCCAAGTGGTGAGGCCGGTACAAAGGACAGAGGATTACTGGTCAACTTGCAATTTTGTAATCACATTCAGAAAGTGTGATAACTTTTATAACTCCATTTATAGATATATATATGAAGCAGCTTAGCTTCTTTAGTTTTTAGTTTTGCAGTTTAGCCAACAAACAAGATGTAGTTGTTAAAGGTACATACATTACATACTAATAAAGCAAGAGCTGCAGTTACAGCTGCAATTTTATCCTCTAGCAGCAACCATTGATATTTAGCTTCTTAATTACAGGAGTTCAGCTCCCTCCTATTTCCAGAGTCTTCCTTTCTTCAGCTTTGTATATATGCAGTTGGCAGTTCTGCATTGATTGCACACACATTTTAATTAAAAGCTAAGTAGGAGCCAAAGATGACTTCACATACAGCTTTATTCCTCAGCCCTAAGCCAACTGCTGCATCACATCACCTCAGTCTGCATGTGCAGAAGTTTACATCCTAAGTCACTCACAGAACTTCACCGTGTAGCTCAAGCACTCTACCTCCAAATCCATCCAGACCAGTAGCAGCAGCTGACTGAGCATACACTGACTTTCTGGGTTTGATCATACAGACTTTATGAACTAGGCACTATCTTCAGAGGCTGTTAATTCTTTTTGGCTGCTGCCCTAAAAGAAAGTTAAGTCTCCAACTCCTGTTAGAACATTACTGGTAAAGGTTCCTAACTAACATGTGGAACGATCTCACCAGCTAACTGGAATGCAATTCAGAGCAGTAGCACTGGAAAACCATAGCATTAGTCTAGTCCTGTGGACCTATGGGAGAACTAAGGACTGAAATGCTCTGGTCCTTAAGTCAGTTAAACTTAACTGCCTGGTACTATTAAAGTAAGTGGAGATAGACTGCTTCAGATGAGATGTGTTCTATTGAAAGCACCTGTTCAGATTCACTAGCATTTCACAGGTGTTTGTTACAAGTTAAAATGAATTGTAATACAATAGCCAGTTTTTCCTTGTAATGTTTTCAAAGGGAATGGAAAACTAGAAGCCTTAACATTACTTTTTTTAAAATGCATTGGAATGCAATGAAGAAAATACAAGAGCTATAAAAGAGACACTAGAAATACTTTAAGGAAATCTTGGATTTCAACATTTTTCTGTTTTTTATAGAACTTAAATATATACACTTGAGAATTAAAACCAGGATGTGTTTACACTGAAAATACGTACTAACTCATGGCAATTCCCAGCAGGCTGTAGTACGCATCTCAAGCACTTCAATCACAGGGGTAGTCATCTACTAGCTTAATAAGCTGTAAATATTCCTTCACATACAGCTTCTATCCCATCCTTAATTCCTCCAGAGCAGCACAAACACCAATACCACCATTAGGTTAGTGATCTCAAGAATATGGAATATGCTAAGACCTTGCGTGTAATAAGAAGCATGTTCATGACCGTCTAAAAGAACTGGCATCTTACAGGACATTAAACCACCCAACTGTAAAGAAAGATCAGGTAACCTAATCGCTGCACCTTCTTGCAAACTACTTTGATCTTCCATTTGCCAAGTGCTCTAGATGCACTTGTAACAGCTATATTAATTTCATCTCCTCACCTTCACAGCCATCTTTAAGCCCTCCTCTTTTCAGGGAAGAAAGATGAGACTATGAAACACTCGAAGTCACTCTGTCATATCCACTAGGACCTTTCTCAAGTTTCTTATTTTTGTTTAAAGTTCAATTAGCCGAGGTCATTCCAGTTACATGGCTGTCAGAAGTTAGTAACTTATTACCACAGCATGTTCATTGCTTCAATTTGTTCACTATGTTTCTTCAAAAATATTAATGGATCATACAAGCATTAGCTGCCACTATCTATGGATCAGATCATGCACTATCTTTACTGTTGTAAAAGGACCATCCGGTTAGTAAGACCACTCAGGTGTCCTCTGCCCTTTCAAAATGGCACACAGCTATCACTACCCAGCGACAGTGACAATATTTTAGTATGTCAGCTATAAAATCAACCATGCAAACACGTTACTACAAGGAAGAAAAGACAACCACAAGAAGGCTTACTATTTGCAAGAGAAGGAAAGGAGGACACTGTGACATGCCATTAAAGCAAGGGTTATGCATTTGACTAAAACCTGTCCGATGTTTCAGTAAGACCATCAGGCATTATTATCTAGCTTAAGCGATAAACAAAATTAAGTTTATGGTACAGATGCACAATTTCTCCATTTCATACTTCAATAGCTTCTGCTAAAAAAGGAAATTGCCCTTCCAGAATGCGAGACCTTCTTCCAGGAGTAAGAAAAGTTAAGATGGCGCAGACAACCAAGCTGTGATAAGGTTCATTAACCAAAGCTGTCAGCAATGGAGTAACCCTTTCTGACAGTATCTTGCAGCAGTAGGAAAACTTACCCTATTATCACTTCTTAGAGGCAATAGCAGCTTATGCAAAATCTACTTCCCCCACCTCTTCCCTGGCCTGTTCCCAGAACCCCACTCCTTTGAGGCAGTATAACTGTTCTTTGGACTCTACAGAGCGCTGATCAGGCAGTTGATCAGTTTCTTCTTGGGAAAAAAAGCAGAAGTGGTTTTTCAAGTCTAGATGTATTCCAATTCACTGGGTAGACCTAGAAGCATTTGTACTGAAACAACTGATCTGGAAAATAAGAGTTTATTCTAGCTGCACTGCTAAGAACTTTCAAATTGAAGTATGCCCTTACACGAAGAAGCTTACAAATTACTCTTCAGTGATTTGAGTCTTGAAAGCTCTTAGTCCAAGTGAATAGCACCAAACTAAAGCTTAGCTTTAGCACTAAAGTATTAGAACAAATGAGCCAGAGCCAATGCAAGCAAAAAAATCCAGAGAACATTGAAGCTTAATTATTTTAATATACAGAAACCAAACAGTTAAACTGCAAACACAGACTGGAGTGCTCTGTTACGAACATTCAGTTTACATTGTCCTCGCTGCCCTGAGAACAAAGGAATTCACCTTGCAAGTGAGTTACTCATCACCAGATTTTTATTAAGTCTTCCAGATTAAAGTCCTTATTTTGAATTGGAGACACTTCCTACTAAAATTCAGTTTGTCCGAAAAGGTACACAACACAGCTGAATGTTGTACAAGCCAAAGGTCACATTACCTTTCAGTTCACTTGCAGTTTACAGATCAAATTTTGTTTTCTTGACACCAGGTCTCCAGGACTCACGACTACCTAATGCTTGAAAACCCACTGCCACAGTATGGTTCAGCATAACAAACAAGTTCATGCATACAGAAGGTTCAACCTAGAATGGAAGTGACTTTTAACTCATAATCTTCAATTAAAAATATCATCAATATTACAGCATACAACAATACTACAACATGCTTAATCTGCAAAGTCGTAACTATAAAGTGCTTCTGTATTGTACAATTTCTCATACAGGAAGGTCCAAATTTGAAGGTAAGCCAGAGTGTCCATTCCTCAGTGCTGCCGAGGAATAGCAGTAAAATGGCCAGACTTAGCCGCCCTGTGCTCTCTTAAGCAGGGCATTTTAGCCTTCTCTATTTAAAGATAGATAGGTAGATTTGGCTTGCAAAACCTGAGTTTTAGCAGCATGCAGCTACCATAGTTGAATCCACCATAAATTTAAATGCATCCTTAAACTAAACACTTTACCATCATCTATATTGTCTGAAGAGTCCCGTTTCAGCTGTCTTAAGAGTTGTGGCAACTATACTTCTCTGTTTGCTCGGTATGTGAACCACACTAACATACTTCAGCCAGAGTGGATTAACCAAACCAGGTCATGCTGAAGCTGAGTTTAGAGGCGTTTTACATCAACTGAACCTTCTGTCATGACTCAAGATTAATCAAGTTTAGACAGTACTCAAAATTAATTGAGATAGCAGCACAGACCATAACCTAGTGAAGCCTCTTATTTCCACACATTCCTTACATATATGTATAGATGTATAGTATAAGCTATTCATGTTCACAAAACAGACATTCACCAAGAAAACGTGTAAATGTTAAATATCCAATTGGCACTGTTTAGCCATTTCAGGGGGTTATCACATATACTTAGAGTGAATTAGAATGTAATCATGATGTCAAAGAACACAGACAAATCACTAATACAGAAGACTTTAAAGCCTAACCTAAAGACAAATTTCACATCTGCAGAGCACAGTGCAAAAGTGTTCTTGTTGATAGCAGCAGTCTGTACGCTCATCAGTTAGACTATTTCTGGAGTACTGTGCACTGATGCAGCTCTGTCAGCACAAAGAATTACTTCAACCAAGAAACAGAAACTAGTTTAAAATAAGCATTGCAGCAGTTACTCATTGCCAAATTCATTAGCTGTTAAAATTACTAATTTAATATAATCCACAAAAAATGCTGGAAAGTATTCAAGACTCTGCAAGTGACAATGCAGTAACTTTTTGTAAAGTAGTAACTGTTTTTCCAATTCAAATCTTGCTTATAAGCACATGGTAAACTTCGGTAAACTCCAGATAGCTCATCCACAAGCATTACCATTTCAAAATCTGTTGCTAAACAAGGTCTGTTCTGATAGTACTGAAGCGCACTCCACTACAGAGTTTCAGGTTTTTCCTTCCAACAGGTGAACCAGTAAAAGTAATTAAGGTCTTGAATAAAGGCTTTAAAAGTAATCACCAGTTTGAATCTGTTCTTAGACTAGACTAAGCAGGAAGATGTTTCATTCCATGTGAAACAAATTTATCTAAACTGTAATGCCGCTGTATGTTCGTAGATACTTCTAAGATTGATCACAAGTGTCAAATGCAAGGGTTTTTCACACAGGAATCTTGAAATTAGCTTAGTTATTACTGCTGCATCCATCTACGTTACATGGATATACAGTTTTGAGAATTTAAGATAGTTTACAGCCTACTATGAAAATAAAGGTAGTACATAAAATGAAAGTCTTTTCCAAAGGCAATTTGGAAGATACTCTAACCACGTCTCTGAAGCTGAAAAGCTTTAACACCCAGCATCAGCTACTGATAGAATTAAGATGCTAAAAAAATCTTATTTCTTGTGAATGATAAACTGAAACCTGAGACAATGTCACTGCAAAAAAACCCCAGACCTACTGAACAGAAAGCACAGCATTAGTATTTGCTACCTACACAACTCTTAATACAGACTTGCCTATTGTTTTGAACCATGTCAGCGTTCTCGCAAGTTTAGACAACCGAGAGTCTGCAAGAAGATCAGTGCAGATTTTTCTACAGGTCATGGTAGCCACATCTGAAATGTGATTCACCAGCTACTAGGGAGCACAAAAGAGCTTCAAGCAGAAACAGGAATAAACAGAACAGCACCAGCAGTCCCAACATCATCTTTTTTATCTGCTTAGAAAAAAATGTGTGCCTCACCTATTTTAGGCTATCACTGCTGTGGATCAATGAGATTAATCAAATCTAGGCATTGTTCAGTTTTCGTGCCTTTAAACAGTCCTTACCTGAGAGTGAAAATTTGAAATTGTTGTTGTTTCAATGTCCTTCTTGCCCAAAATTTCCATTTTCACTGGAGTGTTAGGAAAGTTAAAAGCAAAGTAATCCAGGAAGTCTGGTAAATAAGCAGCTGCTCCATGTACTATGGCTAAAGCATAGTAAGCTGCATTTTTATCATTTTCACTGAATGACAAAGCAAGAAACTCTTCTGCAAATCTCTCCATCTCCACTGGAGACAAAAATGAGAGTTCATCCATGTAAGCATGAAGGACCAGAGCACCACCATTGGACTGATGTTCTTCATGAATGAAGTTACTAAATTTAGTGCCAGTTTTCAAGAAGCTGCTGCGAACAGAATGCTCCTGGTGTGTCACAAATGGTGTTTGTACTCCCTGGGGTATTCGGTATTCCTGCATACCCAAATTCAGTCTGCAGAGCTGCTCATCCTTCAGATACCTGAAGGATTCCTTGTTCATTTCTAAGCTATCACACTGTCCTTGAGACAGAGTCTCTTTGTCAATGCGAGTGAGTCCAGCACACACTGTCTGCACTTCTTTGTTGTACATCTTCAGGCGTTTTCCCCTCATATCTTCCCGGTGTTTCTTTTTCTTTTTTTTCTTTATCTTCTTTATAATAAGACTGTCAGCTCGTTGGGTTTTGCCATTTTCATCTGGGGTTTCTGGCAGCAACAATAAAGAGAAGATTAGAGTTCTGCAGTTGCAGCATACTCACCCAAAAAGAATTAAGACCTCTCACTTGCTAAAGCTATCTACTCCCAGAAAGACTGACCAATAGCAATACCCTGACTTTTGACTTACTAAACTTCATTATACAACAAAAAATGCAGTACATATAGTCATCATGGAAAGAAAGCCTCGGATTAAGGAAAACATCCAAAACTCAAGCTCAGTATTTTAGAAAGATCTCAATTTTTAATAGATTTATAAGAACAACTTTAAAAGGAGTCCATATTTCAGAATATCTGTAATTAAGTACATTAATAACTTCTGACATTTAAGGCAGTGCCATGCAGGGGAAAAGGATAAACAAGTATGTATAACATTTAAACATTAAGACTTCCATTACAGAACACTTCCCTGATTTTGGATACACAATACAGAAGCAAAACAGAGTGCAACTGAAGAGGTACAAGCATTACTGACATTTAGTGGTAAAAATACTTAAAGCAGTTAGTTTTCTGGCAAAAAAAAACACACCCCAAAAAACCTTAAGACTGCTGATCTCTTGTATTAAAGTATCCAAATCATCACATCCACACCTTCAGCTATCTTTTGCTAGTCATATAGTTAACTGTTCAGTTCATTCAGAGCTAGAAGAGGTGGTGGTTTGGCTTTTTTTAAAAGGTTAATCAACCTGTAAAAGGCTAAAGCCTGAGAGAAAAATGTGAAGAAGCAGTTCTGTCAGGTAAAAATGTAATAGTTTAATTGCCCAGCTTCTAGGAGTAACAACTAATTCAAATAATATTTAGCAAGTGACAATGGTAGTTAGAAATCTTGCTGGTCCAGCTGTTAAAAAGCTCAATTACCAAGACAAGATTTCAGTCTTCCTGAATCAAAGAATTATTTCATGCCAACAATGCACCTAACACTTTAAAAGCCATCTTACCAGTACAGCTATGGGGATGAGAACGATCTGCTGCTGAAGGTAACATCTGACTACAAGATGCAACAGCTGAAGTTTTTCAGCTTCCCGCAGCACAGGGCTTTGTGCTAACAAAATTTCCTTTCTTTGTCTGCAAAGTTATCAAACTTGTATTCCCTCTTTATTCTCTTGCGGTACCCAAAGTTAAGAAAAAAAACGTTACACTGATCTATGAGGAAAGGTATAATGATAAATACATACAGTTTAAAGTTACTTAGCCTCACCACAGTATTTAACTATATCATTACTAGCTTGGTCTCGGAGCTCTTTACTAAAGATGGTTGACCTTCACAACAGCCTGGTGTAATGAACAGAATTACTCACGAAGCAGAGAGTGGATTGCTTAACGCTAACTTCACACAATTGTCTTAAGACCTGAAATACAAGTTTTCACAGTGCTGTTGTTAGCCTTTACAAACAGCAAATGCCTTTATTTTTTCTAGTACAGCTAGGGAAACCCGGAAAAGATCTCACTTGTTTTGGTAAGTCAACTCAAACTGTTCTTTGAATAAGCTTTCCTGGAAGTCTCAGAAGTTAAGCACGCATAAGCTTTCTCAATCGCTATGCTCTCAAGTATAGATACTCCTTCACCAGCTGCAATGAACACACTAATCACGCAGCAGAGCTTTGTTCTGGTGGAACCAGAGATTCCAATCTGAAACTAAACAAGGATTTCAGGCCACCACTGAGCTGTTGGAAAGACTTCCTTGTAGATGTTTCCAAGTCAATTTTTGGTCATTAAAAGTGTCTTATTTTAAGCATTTCTAGTTTTAGATATAGTTCAAAAACCTCAGACATCCACTAGTTTTAATTCAGAGTATCCTGTTTGAAGATACGCCCTAATAGCAGACACACACCTTGCACTCTTTGCATTTTTTAGCTTCCAGTGAACAATGGTCTATTTTCAGAATAAAAGCTCTCCTTACTCCATTCCACTGCTGTATCCAATGCACACAGTGGAGTCCCCCTGCTACAGTGAGAGTAACCTCTGTATTAAGTGCAGCTAGGCAGTAACATTATGGTAGCGTCTGACAATCTTGAAGAAAATATAGTTTTAATTATTCCTCTAAATAAATGGAAAGCCTCCAGTACCTCAAACACCAGCAAAGCTATCACCAGGTCATCAAACTACAGGCTCCTACAGCAAGGCAGGAAAACAGCAGTGCAATTAACTCGGCTAGTCTAAAACTATCAGACTTCACATAGCTGAACACACTAGAATCACTACTAAACAGCAAAAACACTGGAGATGTTCATTGTCACCTGTGGTCAAAGATAACACTAGTATAGTCAAAGAAACAGGCAGTCTAATTAGAGAATACATAGAAATAAAAACTGATAGTAAAAGACAGGAAAAGAAATCCAGCCCCATCCCAAAGCCCCCTGCATCCGCAGTCTAGGAAAAGCAGTGAAGAGCTTCAGACTTTCAGCTAGCAAACAGCTTTCCTTTGCGAATGCTGAACTGAGATGGTAATTTTAACAGTGCTCAAGCCTTCATTAAAAGCAGGCCTCACCTGATGACTGGGTTCGGACTGACAGGCAGCGACACTCCCAGCCTATGAAAATACACTACTTCTGTAGTTTTATCAACATTTTCCCAGCTGAAGTTTGAAATTTACAACCCAGCAGCTTTTATAGCCATTATTCAAACACAGTGCTTTAGCAGCACGAAACAGCAGTGCAAAGCCTCTCCCGGTAACCGTTCCGCTGCTCGTAAGGCAGCACTACCCAGCGCTCACACCGCAGACCTAACCCGTCAGCGCGCGTCTCTGCCTTCTCCGGCCCAGCACCTTCACTCGCGCTCCCGGAGCTCACGCACCGCACAGCCTCCCCGCTCCCG